CCCTAACACCCCTGACTATAATGCTTATGATAAATTATAACTAGTATCGAATTAATAAACTGCTGACTCAATATGAATAAAAACCGATAAAATCTTGTTTAAATTAAAAGATGGTGTTACAATTTTCTATACCCAGAGTCTTTATATTTTCTCTCTGTTGCGCATCATTTATCCTGTTGCGTTTTTAGTGTGCAGAGATAGCAATAGTACTTGGTGATGCAAAACCCGTCTATAGTTTACACCATAGCTGATGTTTAAATGGAAACACAGTGAGTACATTGTTACGGGAATTCTGGGCTCGCTTTGTAGGTGTCAGTAGATAGAATATATAAAGAGGAAACGGTGTATGATTTGACCTGCTAGAAAAACGTAGTTGTCATACCTTTTCGTCGTGATCAGTAAATTCATGAGTTCCTATTTGTTTGTTAATGATCTGGGCAACTCCAATGACTTCTCCTTCATAGTTGCGTATTGGCAAACAGAGTATGGAGTGTGTCTTATACCCTGTCTTCATGTCGATCTCTTGATTGAACCTGGGGTCCTATTTGAAAAATATATTCTTCTCAAAAATTAATTTTCTTGCAGCATACGCTCACAACTCGTCCTTCTTCGTTCGGTAAGGTACACCCATGCACATATTAATATGTATACTCGCGTAAATGCACGACCTCGCATACTCGCGCACGTACGGACGCACGTATCCACTTACACACATACGTACACGTAAACACAAACGGATACATTCACGCAGACACGCACGCACGTTCACACACACGCACACACACGCGCTCACTGTGATATACATGAGCACATACAAACGTAAATTGTGCGCACGATTGCAAACATGTCGACTATATTGCGATAACTATAAAGCTACGAGCAAATTTTCAAGGTTTTTTTGGCTTTCATCGTGTTAAAAGTAGTTCGACCACATTTACAATACATTTATGAATACAATTCGAATACATTCTTGTGCAGCTCGCAACAGCGCCGGACTACATCAGTGTCACATGTACCTCGTAGGCATCCTTAATATTGACAGTCTCCGATGTGTGTGCCACGTGCCCAGCGATGCCAACGCCAAACGGGATGCGGATTGCTTTTCCCTCAGGTATGATAACTTCCTCTACGGTAGAGTTAGTCGTGACGTCGAATAGCTTCGCAACGAGAACCCGGTTGTCCTTCGGACCCTATAATACATACAACATGCGTGGCTCACAATACAAGCGCGTACTCGCAGAACACACGAGGCTTCTTCAGAAAGCATTACGCGAACGTGACTCGATCGAATCGGGAAGAGAAAAAACGGTGATCGGTAGTATTCGGGAAGGAATCAAGATATTTTTTCATCCTTTTTTCAAATTGTCCAGCTATAGCTCAATAGTACGGGCGTCGTGCAGATCATTGCTAAATGTGCGAGAGGAATCAAGGTCTGTATATCCAATTCGTCTGTAATTAAACGTACGTATGAATACCACATTTAGATTTTTATTAGATGTTACATGCTAATTACGTAATAGCTGCATTGCAGCGCTGAATTACCATTGCTCTCTTCCCCATACACACACGCACGCACGTGTTATTGTCACTGCACGCACGCACGCACGCACGCGACGGCACGCACAGCACACAGCACACACCGGTCCACACCACACACCAACCCAATACACATGGCACGAGGCGAGTACCCACGCGAACGCACGCAACACACACAACATCAACGCACGGCCAACGCACGCACGCACACACACACACACACAATTCAATTTATCGACAATTTCCAACCAATTTTATATAAACTTTTACAACTGCTAATTTTTTAGGATATTGGCCATCGCATTATGTTATTTACTCTAGTCGAATGCAGAGATTTTCACATACGATTGCAGCAGAATTAATAACAGCAGAAACAAACAGTAAAATGCCCAATGGATAATGTCTGAAAATAGAAAGTACACGAGGAGGCTAATGAGTGTTTGATTGGCGTCAAAGCTGTGTCCGAGGTATATCATTGGGCTTTCAATAGCCACTAATTCAGAAATGCGCGCGTATGATGTTAGCACAAGAGTACGATAATAAACATTTATTTTTTTGTTTTATTATCTACCTACTTGGTACACAACACGCCGCGCGCGCGCGCTCGGCCGCACGCAAGCGCACGCGCAGCACGGACCACACGGCACACACACGACCAACACGCTCGCGTGCGCAACGCCACGCACACAGACACACATCCACACGAGAACACACAACACACACGCACACAACACAACACACACAGCGCAGTGTCCCAGCGCCTGCACATATATATATATATATACTAATAGCACAATATATATATACACAGACAATATATATATACATATATATATATGTATATATATATACATATCTTTCTCTCTCTGCAATATGCAGCGCTAACTAGTTATGTATGGATATCCATCATACCTCTGCCAGGAAAAGGCTGCCGCGGTCACTATTGGTCAGTAGGCTGACATTTATCAGGATCTTGTGACAGAGGATGTTTATGTCCAACTCACTGGCCACGTCGCGTATAAGCTCCATAATCAACTCTTTCTCCTCCAACTGCTTTAACTTTGCCTTGTTCTGTTTCACATTCTGATGTCGTTGCAAAAGAAGTTCTTGAAATTTGCTCGAGGCCAGAAGAGCAGAATGGTGTGAAACGTATTTGTCCGAAAGATCTGTCTCCGATCGAACAAGGCTTGGTCGATTATCATTCCCGATATCCGACCCCTTGGTAAGCCACTGGTCAAAAATCTGTTTTGTTCCATTTTTTACGAACCACTGTCTGCAAAACTTGGTATTTTTAAGCAGGTAGGCTGAAACAGCCTCCTCTGTTAGCGCAGCTTCTTTTGGTTCTTTGCTCTCAGACATCGTGGCAAATGGTTTACATTTCCTACAACGTGGATATAATTGCACAATGCACTACATATATATTCCTTGCGTCTATTCCCCAACCAGAACACATCTGTAGACACACACAACGCTTTTATGCATTAGGCTCAAAATTCTGTTGAGCGTGTCTAGCATGTTAGGGTATATATCGTAACCACAGTAAAAACTAATTCCGGTACCACATAGGTCGTATCGCCGTCTAACTATATTACATTTCGCAGTAAGAGTGTCGCGTACGAGGCACCTATTTAGGACGAGATCGCCGTGGTCGATGTAGAATCCCTATGCGCGACGATCGTGCAACGTCAGTGTAAGTGCAATGGGATCCAAATTAGCACCTCTATACGTCACGGTGAATATTCAGGCTCTTACGCGAAAGCTGCGGAGCGTTTCTCTCGCAGCTCTTCCGTCACGTAAACGTGGTAGCCTAATACGGAGCGACAGATCTCAGCCGCACTCGCTACAGAGCGACACGCCCCACCATAAGCGCCACTCGCGAGTGCGTATCGCGTGCATTTCCAGTTGCACCGAAGCCCTTAATATGTAAGCGCCACTTAATAAACTCGTCACGGAGTAATGCGGCAGTTACAACATTTCAGTCACGCGTGAGATAACGCGCGCAGAGTTGATCGCTCCCAACCAAAATGCGTTTGCACCAGATATGCGAGCACCTAGCTGCAAGCAGACACACTTTCCCGGTGATGATGACGCGTCTGCTAGCCTGCCGGCATGCATCCAATCACAGAACATCGTGTCCGAGCCGACCACGTGCCTAATAATTAAACTCATTACAACGTGCATGCACCGACCTGGGATATTGATCTTTCCGGTAGCACGACAATGCTCGCACTAGGTCGAGCCGTATATCGCCGTGGTAAAAACCTTGCCTGACACAGTGGCACGAAACTAGATTTCACCGGCAACATTTGCATATTTCACGTTGCAACGATATTGGCAATATAACTCGCTAAATCGTTGACATATACCGCTATCTATTGGCAATTCATGATAATTGTGGCAGCTCTTACACAGGTGTGCACAGCGCGCGCAGCATTCGACATAGGGACGGATCAATCATTTTACTTGCTTCTTTATGTGCACTAGCCGAATGCTCAGTTGCTATGGTAACGTGAAAAGCGCCTTTGCCCACAATGTCCTATGCACAAATACACTTCGATTACCTAGCTGTCTATTCAATCTTGTCCACTCCTCATATGTCGTTAGCTCTATCTATGTCACACTGTCGTGTGCACACTTACATGCGTATACGTATTATTGTTTCATATATATATAAATATAGCACAGCTGCGTTTATAAATTTATAAATCTACAGTTAATCCGCCATCTAACCATAATCACACATTTTTGCATCATATGCGTATAGGGATGTGTGGAGCTGTGTAGACATGTGTGGCATAGCAGAGTCGACTCATGCTCGAATATATAAAGCTAAGCACGGGTGTGGTGTTATGGCGCAATGGTGCTGGCTTACTTCGGGATAAAACTGTGTAAAGGTAGGGGCACACGAGCGATTTTTATCGCCCGATCGCCGCGAATTTTAAAATCGCTCGAAAAATTCGCCCGTGTGCCCGTTCACGTCGACGCCGATTTTAATCGCCCGTACGAATCGCCCGTATCCAAAATGTTAGATATTTTCGGGCGATTATTTACGCCGGCGATTATTTACTGGCAAATTCGCTCGTGTGCCCGTGTCCGGCGCATTTTGTCGCCCGATCGATTTTTCTAAACCAATCGGACGTGTTGTTGATATCATGTGATGCATCATGTGATCCTGTGATTCCGTCGAGTGGCGTACGCGTACGCTCTCAAATTCGCTACGTGTGCCCCTTCGTGATCGGGCGATTAAATTCGCTGGCGATTTTAATCGCCGCGATCGGGCGATAAAATACGCTCGTGTGCCCCTAGCATAAGGACTGCGTCCAGTGGCGTAGACAGGCCCTCAGTTGGGGGGGGGGGGATGATTTCGCTGTTACTTCCATCGCAAAGTATACGAATAGTGTGTGTGCGTAGCGCAGACCGCGAGCTACTTGGCGCGAAGCCCTTAACGGGTGGGGTCCAGTGGCTCGCCTTAGGCCCCCTGGCGGGGTGCAGAGGTAGAGCCCTAGCCCGCGGGGACCAGGGGGCGAAGCCCCCGGAAGCTCTTGGATTTTAGTAATTTATAACTTTCAAGATGCCCGTTTTTGAGGGAATTGAAAAAAATTGAAATCGTAAGTACAATATTTGGGATTTTTAGGCTTTATTTTTTATTTGGATTTCAGAGGTTTAATAACACGCAACCCACCCCCCCACACACACAACCAGTGGCGGATCCAGAAGTGAATTCTAGGGGCGGGGCCAATCATGCGAGTTCAAGGGCACAAAGCGCCCGAGGGGGGAGGGTGATTGAGGGGGTGTCCCCCTCCCACTTTGTGGAACTGTTAAAAAATTTCAATCTAAAAGCAATCAATTTTGGACATTTTTATCATAAAATATCAGGAGATTTTTTCTACTTTAGGGATGTGTCCTGTTTTGGGGGTTCGGGTGATCGCCCCCGGAATTTTTGTTGAAAATTACACCTCTTTGATGCAATTTCCTGCACTCTAAGGCAGCATTATTAAACAATCTTCATCACAATAATATCACTGTTGAGTTGAGTATTGGGGACACCAAAGACTAAAATACTTACTACTAAATCTGTGCTATGTACATGTCCTCACTGGGGTTACCACTGCAGACTTACCTAGGCTAAAATACCCTTGCCTTGAAAATTCTAGGGGGGCGACCGTCCCCTGTGCCCCCCCTCCTGGATCCGCTACTGACAACTATAGCACTGGAATCATCTCCCCTGAAATTTTGATAAAACGTATATTTTACTGAGAACGCTAAAACTGTAAAAAAAAGTATGAGAAAAACAACCAGATTTGAACCAAAAAGTGCCTTTTTTTGCTGGATGAATTCTGTGTGTAGGTTGGTCGATAACTTTTACGCTATAGGGAATATTTTCACATACCGATGTAAAGAATCATGACTGCTATCGTACGTGCTTATCCAAAGATGTCACAATATTACTGATACAATATGTTATTGACTCTATAGCTTCATAATTTTCATCCATATACATATGAAAATATATGCAAACGTTAAATTGTTTAAATTGCAAAATTTTGATTGCTATTTAAAGCAAATGCCGACAGTAAGTATTTAGAGACTGGTTTTACCATGGTACGTTAGTGAAATTTGAATCTGATCCAAGACAGACCGTGTAATAAATCTCTTAGGATACAAACAACGACAGCACTGCGAAGCCGCCCATTTACGGCGTTCATTCAGACCTATTATGTTTTTGCCCTTTTATTATCTTTCTTTAAATTTACGGCATATATTATAATACCCTAAATAAGTCATACACATGCCCCATATTGCCGAGGTTATGAATTACTGTTGTAATTATAGGCATATATCATATGTTTAGGTAACAGGCGCATTAGGATAATATGTGTTCCAGGAAAATGCAGGTTGTGACGCCCCGAGAGACTACAGTCAATGATGTGTTGTCAGGGCACTGATGTGAACTAATCCGGTAATGGTAGTCTAATTATATTTGCGCCGCAGCGCGCATGTGCGTATGTTACCAGAAAAATGACCTTCTATAAAAATTAAGAGAGTATATTCAGCAGCTTCTGTAGCTATTTCTTTAGAAAACATGTACGAAAACTTTTGCGTTAATTAAATTCACGATGCGTTAATTAGCAGTTGGAAATTAACCCAAAATAGCTCGCATCATATAGCCTACCATAGTGATTTCTTTGTTTATGCGTTCGTTTCGTTGCTTCATTGTTTGATAATATTGAAACAATTTATCCAGTAATTCAAGAAAATTAGTTCGCGCCATTTCATTGAAATTAGTTGATATATTGACTCGAGATATTATTATCATGTATAGTTAATTATCACTTAACATTCTATTGTATACAAGGCGATAGTGAAACCGGATATTATAGTCAAAGAATATGTGTGGCGTTCTTTCTGCCACTGTACACTATACTATCCCCTGTAGGCCTACATATATAAATTCCGAAGTGCTAATTACAGCGATTTCGGGAGTACCATTGCAAACAAATGTACGTGCTCAATGTCTGGTGTGTGAGTACCGAGTATACTTCATAAAATCTAATATAAGATTTAGGCACTGCCTAAACGCGGAGCTCCCGATAGGTGACTCCACGATAATCTTATCTTACGTCAACGTCCCCAAAACACCAAAGAAACAAACATTTGTTGTTTGCGGCCTGTTGCGTTTAAACCCGCAGTGATTTTATTGAATCAAACAACTACTCCGTTATTCTTAATCTCTTGTACAATAATTTTTCGTAGAACCAATAACATTCAGGAAATTGAGCAGAAGATACAGAAATACTGGTATGTGGTATCATGGAGTGCGAGCGAGCAACCATAGGATGGAAAACCCCTAACGCACCCGCAACGCTTATATACTGTGGGTGGGGAAAATCCCAGCCCTATGGTTCGCACCTCTACGCCTGCTGGGCTCGGCTACTATGAATTCATACTTCTACGTTTTCTTAATCGAAAACAGGGTCGATTTATTGAATAGTATCTTTATCCAGCCATCAGCCTATGACGAGCTATCTTGAAAGTTTCTGTAAAGCCATCGGCTATCTAGCTTCTGTTGACGTGTAGTTATAATTGCAACAGAAGGAACAATAACATCTAGGCTAATTTCTGCAGCTACTATCTATAACACAGCTTTAACTGGGCATGTCACTTGGCAAGTCTGAGGAATAGACACCCTGGTTCACCTCTCTCTGAACTGATTCGTCTCTTTTATCTGCTCTTGACGCCATTATGTATATACTCAATTGAAAATTGATCCTCGCCAAAACAACAGGCAACCCGTACAACCCGTAAGAAGAGGATAGGCTTAATTTTATTGTGCAACTTGCTGTATAATCGTCAGTGATTACGTCATACCACGTGACAATGGTGGTACCCCTGCCCACTTTTGTCAAAGGTTTT